ATACCGTCGTGAATTACGCATTGGTATACGAGATAATAATGATGCAAAGGTGACAAGAAACTGACAATGTACTCGTCAGTTTTCTTTCCCTCAGACCGGCTGCACCATGATTTTAAGGATGGCGACTTCAATGAAGTTTGATATAAATGGAAATGTAACATACACAAATGACAACAAGGAGAAGGAAATGAGAAGAATTAACCCAAATGCCTCTAAACGGCCAATCGGTTAGTCCTTCTATTGCACCCTTGCATATTGTTGACAAATAAATGAAACCTATAATCACTCCATAAACCCATTTCTTGATAAATCGATGCTTCAAAGAGTGATATGTTGCATGTGCTCATTCCAATGAAATGAAAGTGAGATTAACAAGAGATGCAAAGAAGAAAAAAGGACGCATTGCTAAGCATATTCTGAAATAAGTTATATCATAACTCTTCAGCTCTCCGTAGCACCAAACTATGTGGAAATGAATCTGCATCGACCCCGATACTGCTCCCACCAAAGAGTCAACTATGGCCAGATGGATGATCAAGTACTTACTCTTGCATTGTAGCTGGCGCTGCTTTACAAATACAGTAATGGTGAGGATGTTAAGGATGGCTATGGCCAGACATTCAGTGCTGAGCACAAGAAACCATGAAATACAGGTAGAAGATGGAAGCGACCACTGGTACACTTGAGAAGTGTTGCTGGAATTGGTAGCCATTGAGTTTCACTGGAGTTGGTTTACCGAGAACCTAATAATCTAAACACGAATGACAGTGTAATAGTTTAAATAAAGTAACAAAATTAAGCCAGAAAAAAAGACTGACTACTGTTCATGATCTTTCAAATTGTCGGACAGTTGAGTTATGCCATAGTAGGAATCGGCGAAATTTGTTCGCGTTCGATCTAATCTGACAAGTAATGCCGCGCATGATCACCCCTTGCCTTCCGCGAGTGAAAAAAACGAACGTGAAGAGAACATCACAACTCGTGTAAAATTTCTGTGCTTTTTTTCTCAACCTCACAGCGACAAAACCCGTTCAAGTATGTGGACACCGATATCAATACAGGATGTCTGTTTAATACAGGTTGTGGTAAACAAAAATAAACGTTTCACTCTTTTATAACCTTGCTCGTAGTTATTATTGCCGTGGATCATCCATAAAATAATTTTTTCTAGTCTCATTCCTCTCGAGCACGCCTGTGACGGCGAATACGGTTAGAGAGAAAATAGGTGTATTTCGCCTTCGTCATTTTGTGGCTTAACTGAACTTTCTCGACATCGAGGGGAATTTAGGTCTTTTAAGCCGTATGCTGAAATTTGCTAGGGTGAAGTGAATACGATTTTAGAACAGTACAGCATTCCTAAGAGGCTAGTTTCGAATTCTTCTTGCGAGAAAGTCTGATAACTAGTTTCTAGCACCAAGTCGAGGCTGAGGGGAATAGGAGTTGTATAAGAAGTCCCAACAACGCTGGCCTCTTCGCTAATATGAAAGTATCTGAGCTTCAAAAGTTTTTAAAGGGAGGAGATATTCAAATTTCTTTTTACGGTAAGAGTAGGAGAAGGAAAGAACTACTGGAGGTATGTTAGAATGCTGCGGAAATAAAGGTTCAAAAATTGAAGAGGAATCAATGACATTTGGGGCATTGCAATTGAAGAGGACATTTACCAGGCCATTTACATTGTATGGTTGTTCCATTTTTCGACTATTGTAGCCCAGTATGGAAAATGCCAATCTGAGAGACTCCAGAAGCTACAAAATAGGGTTGCTCGTATAAGAACCTATTATGATAATAACCTATTCTGATAATAACCTCTTCTGATAATAACCTATTCTGATAATAACCTTTTCTGATAATAACCTATTCTGATTATATGACGCCGTCGTCTTGTTTATTACATGACCTTGGCTGGGATAGACTTGAAGAAAGGCGTACTAAACAGCTAGTGATTGCTATTTACAAGGGGTCAATAATCACTTTCAACTTCGCCTTCATAATCTTTTTCAAACAATATCGCGAGTCTCAAGCTATAATAAGAGGGACTCGGCTCATAATCTCTTTACTCCCAGACCACTTTCTGAAGCCGGAAAACGTAGCCTGCACTATCGAGATGCTACACTATGGAACAGCCTCTCAACTACTAGCAAAACCCAGACCACTGTTGCTGTTTTCAAAGAATCCCCGCTGACATGGCAATTGCTTTTTGTCATAATCTTGACGATCTATCTATTTTAGGATTCAGTAATAGCTCTTATTGTATGACAAGTTGTAGTATTAGTTTTTAGTTTTAGCATTGCTGTTGGTTTATAGTATTGGAACATTAGTATTAGCATAAGTTGTATAAAGCTTTTGACAGCCTTAATCATAACCTGTTATTAAGAAAAGATGCCGTGATGTTATTGGCTGTAAGACTCTTACAGCCAATAACATCTCGGCAAAACCAACCGATCATTTCACACGAACTGAAATAAGAACATTCTACTGACAACAATCATTCACTTGACTCTGATGATGACCTCCGCACAGGTTGTCGAAACGTCAGTCACTACGACCGACAACAGTCCTTCTCAGGACTACACTCACCCGGACGATCAGACTACACCTTCACAAATTACCTTTTATCATATCGTCCAGTTGTTTGAGGTCGATGTCCGTTTGACAAGAAACGGACACACATTCTTTTTCTTTGAATACTTTCACTTCATAAATTTTGTAATTGCGTGACATTGCGTTACAGTTGGGCTACCTTTCGCACAAGGTCACTCCGATCTCCTTTCAAAATAAGCGCGTATTCCCCTCAGCCTCGAGTTGGTGCTGATAATTAGTTACCAGACTTTCTCACACAAACAATTCGAAACTAGCCTATTGAACTACGAGAAAATCTATTGTTAAACTTCAAGGGGTTTGTGCTAAATTAGAGGACTCAATTACTGGTACATGCGTGCAACTTACTAAGGTTGACTAAAACCATCCCATGGGTAAAATGATATTTACTCAAACATGACTCAAAGGAGAGAAATTAACAAGCGCACAAATTTGTCTGTTTTAATTTAGGAATTGAAATATATGAATAGGGTTTGTTTAGGTTCTGTTTGAAAATCGCTTGATTTTTCAGTTACCAGCTGTTTCGTACCTACGATCGTTTCGCACCTAGTTATCTCGTACCCAGCTGGGTCGATTCGTACACAGTCAGTTGAATCGTTTCGTACCCATACCAATATACTGGTATATTGAAGGTAAGAATAGAACAAACGAATCAGCAAAAATAATCAAATTTATTATTGTTAATGCCAAAGAGAATCGCAATTACACTAAATTTCTTTCTTTTTTTTTTCTAAAGTGTAATTGATACATTGTTCTGTAAGTAAAATAAGAAAGAG